TTCTGTAATAACTATGATAACCCAGTCCCATGTCCCCAACCATCCCTAAATACATCTGCCTTACCTGTCAGTCCTCTTGCATTGAAATAAATGCAGTTTAATTTATTAATTTACCTCATTCTCTGCCATGCTTTTGCCTGCCCTGACTGTTTAACTTGCTCCCCACATTTACTATCCCAGCCTCAAACTTATCTCTTTTCTCACTATCTGAATATAGAGATTGTTCTGTCCTGATTGGTGTAGTGGACAGTGAAGAAGCTTATCTCACAGCAAAATGGGACCTTAATCAGATGGGCCAATGGGGCTGAGGAATGGCAGATAGAATTTAATTTTGATAAATGTGAAGTGCTGCGTTTTGGTAAGGTAAACCAGGGCAGAACTTATACACTTAATGGTAGGTCCCTGGGGAATGTTGCTAAATGAAGAGATCTAGTGATGCAGGTGCATAGTTCCTTGAAAGTGGAGTCACAGGTAGACAGGATAGTGAAGAAGGCGTTTGGTACGCTTGCCTTCATTAGTCAGTGCATTGAGCATAGCAGTTGGGACGTCATGTTGCGACTGTACAGGACATTGGTGAGGCCACTTTCCGAATACTGTGTTCAATTCTGGTCTCCCCCAGTAGAGGAAAGATATTGTTAAACTTGAAAAGGTTCACAAAAGATTTACAAGGATGGCAGGATTGGAGGCTACAGGAAGAGGCTGAATAGGCTGGGGCTTTTTTCCATGGAGTGTCAGAGGCTGAGGTGTGACCTTATAGAGTTTTATAAAACAATGAAGGGCATGGATGAAGTGAATAGCCAAAGTCTTTTGGAGGCCAAAACTAGAGGGCATAGGTTGAAAGTGAGTGGGGAAAGACTTAAAAGGGCCCTGAAGGGCAACTTTTTCATGCAGAGGGTGATGAGTGTATGGAATGAGCTACCAGAGGAAGTGGTGGAGGAGAGTACAATTATGTCATTTAAAAGACACTTGGGTAGGTACATGAAAAGGAAGGATTTAGAGAGATATAGATCAAATGCTGGAAAATAGGACTAGATCAGTTTAGGATATCTGGTAGGCATGGACGAGTTGGACTGAAAGGTCTGTTTCCATGCTGTATATCTATGACTGTATGACCTGACTGGGCAGACTGTGCCTTGGTTTAGTGCATCTCATCCCTAAGGTGATACTTCTGACAATGCAACACTCCTAGGTGTCAGTTTAATTTATACAAACAACAGTAGCCTATTTAGCCTGTTGAGCTTGCTTCGCCATTTAGTACAATCATGGCTGATTGAACACTTCAATGCATTTTACACTTAATATTCCTCTAACCCATAAGAATATGTTATGGATCTAAACATGGATCAGGCTATTTTGGATCTAGTAATGTGTAATTAGGCAGATGTAATAAATGATCTCAATGACCGTAACATGATAAAATTTGGCAGTCAATTTGAGAGAGAAACTGGGTTGGAAATAACTGTGTTAAACTTAAATATAGGTAATTACAAAGGAATGGAGGCAGTGCCAGGACTGGGAAAGGAGTTTAGCAACAAAGACGGTTGACTAACAATGTCAAATGTTTAAGGAAATTGTTCATGGCTCACAGCAAAGAGATATATCCCATTGAAGGGGATAAGCCAACCGTGTTTAACCAGTGAAGTTAAGGGTAGCATCAAATTAAAAGAATATATCATATAATCTGGCAAAGATTAGTGATAAAACAGAGGATTGGGAAAAACTTCTAAAAAATGACAAAACATGATGAAAAAAAAGTAAAGAGGGAGAAGATAACCTTTGAGGGTAAACTTGTAAGTACTATCAAAATAGCCAGCAAGAGCTTCTTTAAATATATAGAAAGAAAGAGAGAGGCCAAAGTGACATAGACCTCTAGGAGAATTGGGCTGGTCAAATAATAATGGGAAACTAGGAAATGGCAGAGGAATTGAATTAATAGTTTGCATCAGTCTTCATAGTGGAAGACATGGCAATAACATTCCATAAACACTAAATAATCAAGAGGCAAAAGGGGAAGAGGAAATAAATATAATAAATATCTTGAGAGAAAAATACCACTAGGGAAACCAATGGAGCTAAAGACTGATGCATTCCCCAGACCCATATGCATCCTAAGTTAATAAGAAATGAAGCTACAGAGATAGCAAATGCATTGATAATGATCTCCTGAGAATCCTTTGATTCTGGAAAAGTGCTGGAGGATTGAAAAACTGCTAATGCTAACACCAACATTCATAAAGCAAAGGAGACAAAAGAAGGATAACTATAGGCTTTTAAATTAACACCTGTTATTGAGAAAATATTGCAGGATGCAATAGCAGAGCATTTAGAAATATGTAATGTGATCACACAGAGTCAGCATGGCTTTGTGAAGGGGAAGTTATGACTGACAAATTTTTAAAGAATTTTTTGAAGGAGTAACAAGCAGGATAGATAAAGGAGGAGGAGTGGATATTATATATTTGGATTTCCAGACTGCATTTTATGAGGTACCACGTGTCAGTCCATACAATAAGATACTGTTGTACTGGAGGTAGTACATTCGCATGGATAGAGGATTGGCCAAATAATAGAAGACAGAGAAATGGGAGAAGTGGAACATTTTTGATGTCCAACTATAAATAATGGAGTGCCATAGGGAGTAGTGCCTGGGTCACAAAAATATGTGTGCAAATACAATTGATGAGGATAACACATAAAATCTACAGAAGGATATAGGTAGGTTAAGCAAGTGACAGATGAAATATAATGTGGAAAAATCTGAGATTATGCACCTTCAAAGAAAGAATAGAAGAGCTGAATATTATTTAAATGGGGAAAAACTGCAGAAAGCTATGGAAAAGAGGGATTTGGAATTCCTTGTCATGAATCACACAGAGTTAACCTAAAAATTCAGCAGACAATAGGGAAGGCAAATGGAATGTTGGCCTTTATTTAAAAGGGAATGGAAATAAGGGTCTGACAGGTTCTGAAAGGATTAATACTCATGAGTTCCATAAACACCAACGACAACAATGATATCATATAGACTTGTAGATAGAACAGCTTAGAATCCTGACAGAATGAGATGTAACAGCTGGTTTACCTTAACATGTGTGCACAATGTCTATCATATCAATGTAACCCGCAACTGATTACTAATGTGCAATAAGCTAAATATTGTTAACTACAGAAGTTCTTACAGATAGATCAGGAAGTGGTTTACCTCTACCATATGAGATTAAGCTGGCCATGTCATATCCTACACTTGAAGAAGATGGTGAATTCAATCTTTGTCGTGAGCAGCAGCTCAAAAGTATAGTGAGCTGACATGCCCATACTACAGTTCCCATTTGTTAACATGATTGGCAACAGAGTTGCTGTTCCCAGGAAAGCAGCCCTGTGCCAGCTGTCTCCAGATGTGCCCTGGCTCTGTGTCACCTTCACTTAGCAGTCTGATCCTTCGAAAGGAGTGCACAAACTAAAAGCACTGTTAAACAACAGCGTGCATCCAGGGTCACAGGATCTGCACAGCATTGATAGCTGAATGTGCTAGCTCTAGGGCTCAACATCAGAGTAATTGGCTCTGAGTTTGTGGGACAAGGTGACTTTCTCCCTGTTCTTTTCTCACACTCTGTGTGCAAATGTCTTCCTGAGCTTAGTGTCTCCTGCTGATGACCTGTGGAACTATGTAGTCACACAGAAATATCTCACTACACAAATTACTTTAAAAATAAATTCCTCTTTAAAGACTTTCACCATAAAATTGTTATTTAGAAGCGTAGTAATTTAATATTTAACATTATAGAAAGCACCAGATGGGAAGTAAAAATATAATCATTTTTCAGGATATGAGAACCAAATGTTGATTCTAAGTATATCCTCTATGTTATAATATTAAAATTCCTGAATGCCCTCAACTTGGAATAATCTTATTACTTGCCAACAGCTAATATTGAACAGTAGAGATGTTGCTTTGTGAACACCGAGAGTTAGAGTGTTCAGGAGCGAACAATTGCTGGATAGGAAGTCATCAGTTGACTTATGCAAGTACTTCTAGGGAAAATCAATATCTAATCATTTTAATGCATAACGTAGCTGCAAGTGACTTTCAGATAAACCTGTATAATATTGCCAACATTTGGTTATCCAGTAATGGGATCATTGTGTGGAAACAATGCTTTACACAGTTTGCTCCAAGATTTGGATATCTGTGTTGGATTTTCTCGATGGCAAGTATCAAACGTCTTTTGAGAACAAAAGCTTTTAGTCATTTGCCTGATTTTCAACCTGTAAAATTATAAATGGATGTAGATGCTTGCGGAAGCCCTGCTCTATCTTGGCTGGGAGGTTGGAACTATTGTTGGCTGGAATGACTGATTCTCAATGGGGGAGCAAATGCGATAATGAAGGAGTTAAGGGAATATTATAATCATGAAAGCAAGTCAGAAATAATTTCCATATTTTCGGTATTTTTATCCGTAATCCAACTTAACAGTGTTGGAGCATCTGGATGTTCTAGCAATGTTTGTTGGCATTTAACATAGTTTTTACTAGTTTTTCTGATTCAGTTTCTGCAGTTTTATGAAAGAAGGTTTTAATGAAGATAGTTGGGAACTGTAAGTTCAATGGCCCAATTAGTTTCGCAGAAAATTCCCAACAAATGCCCCTAAATAAATACGTTCAGCTCCTGTCATTTCAACTTGTTTGATGAATTTTCACAGTTTACGAAAGGTTTTATGCAACAGTGTGTAGGGTACAACATGGGCTTTGCACTGTTCAACTATCACATCTTTCTGAAGTGCTCATTCATAGGTCCAGTTGTTCCAACTCAATCTGTTTCAGTCAGGTCCTATTGGGAGACTGATTTGTTTGTGCTTATGAGGGATAGAGAAAATAATCTGTCTCAGGCAGGGTAGGGGTTGGTGGGAAGTTATTTTTTAAAATTTTAATATTTTATAAATGTTAGTTGCAACATATTTGAGAATCACCAAAGCTCATTTATTTTCCTTCAATTTTCTCAGCTCTGATGAGAATAATACCAAGACTGAGCCAAGCCGCCTTGAAGTAGAATTGAGTTTGCTGTCCAATCAACTTCCTAAATCAAAAGGGCTAACAGATATTCTTCAAAAAGTAAGATTTTAATCCATTTATTCCTCTTTCTTAAGAGAATTAACTTGTTATCATTGACAAAAAGGGTTTTTGTGTTTGCTTATTTGCAATCTTGTGAGTTCAGTAAAATGCCTAGAAGCCAATTTGTGGGAAATCAAGCTTATTAATGCCAGTTTAAATATTACAACATATTCCCATAGAGCTTCAAAACAGCCTCCTTGACATGCTTGTGTCAGATGTCATGTTGCAAATGTTAGCAGTATAAAGTAAACATTTGATAACAGTACCAAAGAAAGCAGATCATGATGTGAAATACTGTAGGGCTCAGTGCATCAGCCAATAATCCAAACCACTTGAACATGCCTTTAACAAAAGAAAGATCTCTTAAGAAGACTAGATCATGGGATCATTAACGCTACGCACTTGATTGTTGGTTAGCTTCTTCAGGCTTCGACTGAGAGTCCACAAATGTTTGGTGCTTTCTACAGTGATTTCAAGTTTGCCAAGGGCTACAGACAGTCCTGTGATAGGGCTGAAGGACACTTCATAGATTCTGCACAAATCAGTTGCTCTCAGACATGGGTACACTGGTAGCTGCTGAACTGCTGGCCCGCTGTTTGGCTGCTGTTCGAGGTGATCATCCAGCCTCATGCCACAAAAGTCCAGTAGTGATCTCAGGTTGAGGGAAAGTAAGAAACATGCCCTGGCACACTTTGCTTCCTGTAAATCAGAATAGGGCAATGTGGGAAAACAAAAGATACCATTATCTTTAATATTCGCCATGAACTTAGTAATGAGTATTCTCATAATGGCCAGAACTACCTCCTTTGTGGAGATCAGGACATGTAGGTGTGCATCCCCTCCTAAGGTTAGCTGTTGCTCTCTCCAGTTGTCAATAGTTTTTGTGCGATCTGTTTGACTGATGAGGCTGTCAGTGTTGAATAGTTGACCATGTCTGCCAGCTGTGAGATGTTGGTGTTTCTATAGTAACAACTGTGTGAGGTTGATATTAAGCTGTGGGTTTGAGGTCTGAGGTTTGATTAATAGAGATTTCTGGTAGATGAGTGAGTGAAAAATATATGATGATTTGACAGAGGATGGAGCTGTTGGTTCAGTTGGTAGGATGTGGTATTTGAGCATGTAGTCACTGACCTTAACTGCTGGTGTGAGGTCATTGGATTTCTTTTGGCATTTCATTTATGTCCTCAGGCCTAGATTACAGGCATTATGTTCCACAGTTATCTAACTAAAATTGCCTTTTGATCATGTATCCATCAATTGTGGGTACAGGACATCTCTTTTTCTTCCCAACTCCTCTGCCTAGATCTCCAGGGCCATTTCCAAAAACCTCGTAACGCACTATCTCTCCTCTGGAATTCCTCAATCTTGCCCAGATTTGATCCTCTTCAATGAAAACTCCCAGCACTTTTAAGAGATGCAGGTTTGTTAAAGCATCTTCAAATGGTGAAAGCCGCTCACAAGATTGGCTGCCTATTGATGCCCCAAATTAATGAACAGAGTATGGTTAGTGCTAACTTCATGTAGAGACCATTGAAGCAGGCAGCACAAAGTTGCACTGTAATTCTCACAATTTTGTGGGCCCCATCCAATGTGACCCCGTCTATGCTTAACACCTGGCTGCTTTTCATGATCATTCAACACACCTCCTTTCGGGAAATGTAACTTCCTCCGCGGTGCTCTTACTGCTTTATTTTGCCCAGGCTCAACCTAATTTGATCTGTAATGAAGCCCTCAGTAATGTGTTGGTGACAGAGGATAGTTTTCTGGCACTCGGCCAATGAATGCTTCTGTCTTCAATTGAGCCTGCAGAGAAATGTTGATTGAAGCTGCTAGACAGATCGGAGTGGCTGGGGGATGGGAGGTGGACATGAACCTCTTTGCAAAGACTTCCTTATAACAAGGCTGTACAGATTTCCCTAGGGACAGGCAGCCAACAATATCAAAGATGACCTCTGTGTAGTGTGTGCAGATAGTAGTCAGTGGCTCTGCTTGCCCAGGAGAACCAGTGCAAAGCAGATTCAAACACATTCTCCTACAATTTCAAGTGATGTCTGGACACTCTGAATCCTAGTGATGCAGGTTGTAAAAAAGGAGTATGGTTTAATGACTTGTGTGAATTCTGAGTGATGCCACCTATAACAAATAAGCCCACAGCATATACCTTCTGGAATAAAGCATTTCTAAGATTCATCTGTCATGAGATTTTTCTAATGGTAACTCAGTCATTTATTCTCGCAATCAACACAACATATTTGTTACATGAAGAAGACAAACTTTATTTATGATTAAATTTCAGTATCATTGATATTTACACAATATTCTCATATCCTAAAGAAAGAAAAAACATCCCTGTTCTGGAATATATAAAGCTAAGTTGAAACAATGCCCATCATGAAGACATGATTTACCGTAATTGCATTGTAACTCAGTAACCAGAAATTATTTAACATTTATATATCACTTCTATATTGTAGGATAACTTGAATTTTCTCTGACAATTGTCAAAATTGTGTATTCAAAATGCAACTGGGAACTCATGACACAGGAGACTTATTTGTAACTGTTGTCAGGATCCTGAGTGGTATTCTTTACCCAGTTATTCATGTCTGAAGTATAAAAGCTGCTTTGAGAAAGCACAGCCAATCAAACTGTTCTCATGATGACCCTAAGCAAAAGCAAATGAAACAAATCCTTTATTGTTCATTCCTTCATTGCTATTCAGTCAGAAAAAAAAACAACTGTCTTAAATTAATGTTCCTGTGTCAACTCCCCAAAAAATATCTGCAAGATTGGATTCTTTGTGAGCATGTCTGCTTCTAAACACCCATCAAAGAGCCCATATTTGAAACTACTTCTTGTCACCACATACTTTAAGCAGAGAACTTTCTGTCAGTAATGTTGCCCCTTACTTTTCAAATTCACAAATTAGTCAACATCAATCCAAGCTCCAGAGGCTTGATTAGCTTTTGAACTGAAATCTAGCTGTTAATAAGGAGGTGAAAAAAAATGTTTAAAGATTGTTCCTCTTTTGATATTGGATTGCATTGAGAGAAAAATGACAAGAAACAGGTGACAGAGGGATGGCAGCACACTTTTCACCCTGTCAGTTATTTAAGGCCAATTAATTGGGGCAGGGATCGGAAGAGGTAGCTAACCCACTTCTTTCAGGGCTGAATGCCAACAGTTGGATAACCGAGCATTTCAATCTATTTGTACAAAACTAATTTTGTTTGTAGTCAGCTTTTAACAGAGACCTACAGTTTAGATTTTAAAGTTTCCGGCCTTAGGCAGCGTTTCCACAAGGTCTCCACTAGGACAGTAGTTAGGCTTAATAACTTAAAGAAGCAGTTAACTCCAGCTCCTCTGTAACTGGGTCAGCTAGGCGTGTTGTGCTAATATCACAAATTGCAAAAAGATTAGAATGCAGATTCAGCAAGTAATTAGGAAATCTAATAAAATGTTCTCATCTATCGTGAGGGGAATTGCATACAAAAGAAGGAAAACCATGCTACAATTATGTAGAGCTTCAGTGGGATCATGTGTTGTGGTGACAGTATTGATCACTTCTCTTAAGGAAGAGTGTAAATGTGTTGGAAGTAGTTCAGAGAACATTTTGAAACTAATACCTAGAATATTTGGGTTTTCTTGTTATGAAAGATTGTACAGGGTAGGCTTCTATCTGCTGGAGCTTATAAGAGTTAGAGGTGATTTGATATATAAAATCCTACGGAGTCTTGACAGTGGAGAGGATGTGGGAGAAAGAAATGTTCTAATTTAAAACAATTCTGTGAAAATATTTTACAAATTCTAATTTGTTGCCTGCAGCAGCTTTGGACAAACAATGCCTGTGGGTCCACCATAAAGTTACACAATAATCAATTGCATTCATAATTACATGATTATATTACTCAAACACTTATAAAATGTTGATGTTTACCACTGGAAAATATGCTAACATTGTTCTTATTAATCATTGTCTAATACATGTAGTAAATATTTACCTTACAGATGGCTAAACAAATCTAAACTTTTATTAAAAATTGGGTTCACTTGTAGGGTAATTGGAAATTTGGCTTTGTCAGTGACAACACATTTTATATCTATAATGATAATTTGAGAAAAATAAACTCAGATTGAAGGAGTGTATGGAATGTCTGGCACGGTGCTGAGACAAATAGACTGACAAACATTACATTTCAAACCCCTGCATCTGTGTTCATCCAACAGCAGTGAAGCACAATAGTCGGTTAAACATTTCTGGACAAATTAAATTAGAATTCTAACCATTATATAATAGATAGCTCGTGGATATCCCTGGGTACTTAAAAAATAAACAGGCTCAAACTTGGTAATGGTTCCTAATAGTTGAATACCTTGCCCAGTAAGTAGTTTTAGGTATTTATCATGGTTACTGAGTTGAGTTGCTGATGGTTTGCACAGTTCACTTGAACTGCACTGAACCACATTTCACTTGAGCTACTTGGCTGCTTTATTGTTGGTACACAAAGCAGGTATGAAGTCAACCAAACAACTTGTTGGTGCTTTCTTGAACCTTGGGCCATTATGAAGCTCTGGCCTTGTTAATATGTCACTACTGAGCTCCAGACACCAGCTTTCCTGTTTGTAACTCCATTCTCTAGGATAACCTTTATCCCGTCCTATTTGTAGGGCCTTTTGCCACCAATGAGTTGGCTGAGGTCTCCCCTCCCCTTGATTGTTCTTTTTTTTGTTATATTTCCAGAAGTGCCTCTTACACACAACTGAACACTTTCTTTTTCCATCACCAAATCGCACATGATATTTTTACATCTAGTCACCACCATCAGGACCTCACCCAAGTTTCCAACTGAACAATTTACATATAGAGCCTGTTAAGGTTAATGCAAGCCATCAAAGGTGAGGGAGAGGTAGGGAGATGGGAGGGGGCTAAATCAAAATGGTTTTGGAAGGGGGCCGCCCTGATTTTCCTTTTTTCTTCTTATTTTACTATATCCAGAAGTGCTCTTACATACAAATGAATATTTTCGTCTCCATGACCAAACCACTAATGGTATTTTTTTTCCATCTGTTAACCACCTCCATTAATTCACCTGTGTTTTCCAATTGAATAATTTATGTGCAAAGCACATTAAAGACAATGCAAACCATCAAAGAAGAGGAAGAAAGGAGGGAGCTAAATGAAAATGGTGTTGGCTAAGGGGCCTCCCCTGATTTTGTTTCTTAAATCAACTTGTTCAGGGATGTTCTCAACTCTGGACTAGGTGGGACTTGAACATGGGCCTCCTGGTTCAGAAGTAGGTACACTATCACTGTGCCACAAGAGCCCTCCTCCCTTGATTTTATTTTCTTTGTTTTTACTTTTAGTACCCAGAAGTGCTATTAAACGCAACTGAGTGACTTTCCCACCACCAAAATCACTGTGACTTTATTTTTGTTTTCCCCTTTTAACTACCACCAGTAATTATCTATGCAGCCAATCAAATATATACAAGCAAATTACAAGCCCATTACAGGCTCTCCCCTCATTTGTAATTGTTTTCCAGTTGAGAAAAAGGTGACGGTCAATTTCAAACTAATCCCCTTGTCTTCAGGGGAAGAAAAATGATAGGGGAGAAAAGTGGAATGAAATTACTGAAGTAATTGTTTTCCAATTAATAATTAGGTACAAGAGGAATCAAGAAAAGGTCTACGATTTGTTGGACTTGTGCAGCAGCAAAATTCTCCTGCTGATCCAGCAGAAAATTATGAAGGAAACTTAACTGTTAACAATACTTTATGTCAAAACAACTCAACAAAAGGAGAAAAGAATGCTTGTCAAAACACACCAAACAATACCACTGGAGAGAAACTCGAACAAAATCAGGAAACAGAAGCTACAGAGGGGAAGGCAAAACAAAATGTAAATCAAGGAGAGGCATCCCTGGATGAAGGACAAAGTGCTTCAGATCAAGCAAAAAACAATGAACAAATCAGTGGGCAATCCATGGCAGAATTAACAAATCAGGAATGTCAAAATGATGCTGGTGAGATTAAAAATAAGAACACAGCTGACTGTGAGTCAGAAAGCAAAGTTGCTGATAAACCAGAAGATCCAGCACAAGCAGAAACGTTTGAAACCAACACAGCAGAAGGCCTGCAGAGTAAGAGTCCACCTGGACAGGAGCAGTCTCCCATAGCAACCGACAAGTGCAATGAGGTGAAGCACGGAACAGAAAGCTGTGAAGCAGCTGAAGCAACAAATTTGTCTGAAGGCAATGACACCAAACAGCAAGAACACCTGAGATTGGCAAAGCCTGAGGAGAGTGGAAAGAAGAATGTGGGTGAGTTGCTGTTACTGTGCTCTTGTTTGGGCTGTTTTTGGGTATTTATCTAGTGCAACATTTATAATATTTATGTTAAAATACTTATCATGTAAGTCAGTCTGAGAATTTCATCATTCTAAAAATTTAAAGACAGGATAATTTGTATTTTAAATCCTTAATATGGGTGTAGAAATGATATTGCACATCAAAGGCCCAGATTCATCTTGTCCACAAATATTCAAAATAAATGTTTGGGGCAGAATTCTACAGGGGTTTGAATGATGGGGGCTGTGGCAAGCTTTATGTTAGAATTGTGTGTGAGGTGCAGTGAGACTTATCTCAATGTCAGGTTTAACTTTTGTGTTTTTGCTGAATGGTGTGGCAAATTTATTGCTCAGCAACAGCAAGTTGCCAATGAGGGAGAGTTATTGCATGTTAAATGCCTCTTTAATGACACACTTTGTCACAGCAACATTTAGCATTCTAGCTTATGAAATATGTTGCACCAGCTATATGTCTAGAATTCTCAACATGAAAGTCAGAGTGGTGAAGGTGGGGTGTCTGCAAGACCCTCTGATGTAAGGCCCTTCAAAGTGAAAGAACTTTACACACAGACCAATGAACTGTACAGAACATAGACCTGTGGGGTCCCTGATCCCTAGCCAATCTAATGCATTGGTTCCCTGTTTGCTGTGCACCTCCCTGCTTTCCAGGACATACCTGCGCTGTTTTATACATTGGTGCCAGTGTTGTAACTGATCTGGAACAGCTTAGCTAAGGGTATGGCAAGTTATGGAGCACAAGTCTTCAGTACTATAACTGGAATGTTGTCAGACCCAATCTGGCTGGATTGCAGAGCTAGATGTGATCTGTTGTTTATGAAATCATTTAGTTCTGTCTGTCACTTGCTGTTTTTGCAGTTTATCATGCAAGTAGTCCTGTTTGTAGCTTCACCATCGCCGTCTTAAGGTATGCCTGGTGCTGCTCCTGGCATGCCCTCCTGCACTCTCCACTGAACCAGAGTTGATCCCCTGGCTTGATGGTAATGGTTGAGTGAGGGATAATGCAAGGTCATGAGGTTACAGATTGTGTTGGAGTACAGTTCTGCTGCTGTTGATGATCCACTGCAACGCATGGATGCCCAGTATTGAATTGTTGGATCTGATTTGAAGTGTATCCCATTTAGCATGGTGATAGTGCCACACAGTACAATGAAGGGTATTCCCAATGTGAAGGCGGGACTTTGTATCCACAAGGACTGTGCAGCGGTCACTCTTACCGATTCTGTCATGGACAGATGGATCTGCAACCGGCAGATTGGTAAGCACCTGCCACAGACCCAGTCCAGCGGCAATGCCCTTTAGGACCCGACTAACTGCCAGGGTCTAGTGGAAAGAGGACACCCCTGCTGAACACAATGCTGTCCACCCGGACATGCAGGCTCCTGTCAGAGAATCACAGTGACACCATCCCCTTCTCTCATCGCTCATCCACGTGCACAGCAGCCTTTTTAATGTGCACAGGACACTGGTCATTCAGCAGACAGCTGCTGCAAGCTGGGTTTTTCTCTGAGAAGCATGCGGTAAGATGGGACCAGAATTCGATCAGAGGGACAAATACAAATAGAAATCTCATTAGACCTATTGACAAAGAAAGAAAAACCCTCAAAAACTTGACACCACTTGCACTTAGCTAGAAAAAACATAGACTCAGCCCATTGTCCCAGAACACTTGCATTGCACAGACCTTAAATTGCTGATGATCCATTCTGCTGTTGGAAGTGTGAAGGGGAAGGACTTCCTTGTGCTAACACATCTTGTCCCATATTCTGGGCACTAGGTCATTTTAATATTTGGACTGAGTAACCCTTTGCCTTTGGAGGTGGCACAGAGGGTCTGAAGAGCCCTTAAGAAGATCAAGTAGTATGTCCACCTGATAGAGATATGTCAAGGCCCTAAAAGGTGCAAAAACATGATTGAAGAATTTTCAATGTTTCTGAAGGTTGGGTGGCATTTTTCGATAATGAATCCGATCTGCGTTGATTACCTTTGGCTCACTGAAATGATTTAATTTCTGGGCATTAGTGCTCAGTCTGCACAGATATGCTATCTGTTGGGTTCAGTTCAGTCACAGTTTTCAAGGCAGTTTAAAAAGTCTTGTTTAAACGTGCAAGCTTAAAGGCCGACACCTGAAGAAAGAGTAAGACTCCGAAAGCTTGTGTCTTCAAATAAACCTGTTGGACTATAACCTGTTGTCATGTGATTTCTGACTTTGTCCAGCCCAGTCCAACACCGGCACCTCCACATCAAGCTTAAAACAACAAGTGGACAAAGAATCTACACATACCTCTCCCACCCCTCAATGAGAATTTTATATTGGCTAGAAAGCAAATAGGTGAGGGTTCTACCCCAAATCACTGGCACCCTGTGGGCTGTCTGTTACACTTTCTTCCAGCAGCACCCGCCTACCCCACCCCTTCCCGGGCCCTCCATAGCAGCAGCTCTGACCTTAAGCATAGAGCAGTCTCCCACAGGGAGACGTGCTCCACATTAGACACTTCCTGTCTTTTATCTTATCTCACAGTGGCCTGTTAGTCTTCATAGTTCCTCAAGATAAACAGATTTTTTATTTGGTTTGATATTCAGGAACTGAACATTTTCAAGACTAACATGATCTTATCTTTAATCACAACATTTTTCAGAATGGATTTACATCCGTTTGACATTATTTCTTATCATTCTCACACTTTGTAACAATGTATATTTTTCAGTTTACTTTCTGAAAGTACTAACTCAGCTAGACACCTGCACCTCCCAGTCGCGAACCATTTCAACTCCCCCTCCCATTCCTCAGATGACATGTCCATCCTGGGCCTCCTGCAGTGCCACAACGATGCCACCCGAAGGTTGCAGGAACAGCAACTCATATTCCGCTTGGGAACCCTGCAGCCCAATGGTACCAATGTGGACTTCACAAGCTTCAAAATCTCCCCTCCCCCTACCGCATCCCGAAACCAGCCCAGCTTGTCCCCGCCTCCCTAACCTGTCCTTCCTCCCACCTATCCCCTCCTCCCACCTCAAGCCGCACCCCCATTTCCTACCTACGAACCTCATCCCGCCCCCTTGACCTGTCCGTCCTCCCTGGACTGACCTATCTCCTCCCTAACTACCCACCTACACTCACCTTTACTGGCTCCATCCCCACCTCTTTGACCTGTCTGTCTCCTCTCCACCTATCTTCTCCTCTATCTATCTCCTATCCGCGCCCCCCTCTCTCCCTGTTTATTTCAGAACCCCCTTCCCCTCCCCATTTCTGAAGGAGGGTCTAGGCCCGAAACGTCAGCTTTCCTGCACCTCTGATGCTGCTTGGCCTGCTGTGTTCATCCAGCTCTGCACCTTGTTATCTCAGATTCTCCAGCATCTGCAGACACACCTGCTTCTTGTCCAATGTAAACAATTAGTCTGTGGCTTTCATTTTTGGAAAGCCTGACTTCAAACTTTAAAGACTTTCATTGACCCTTTTCTTTCCATAAATGAATCATAATCTTTTTTTGCAAACTGGAATCATAACCATTGTTCAGAATGATAATTAAGAAAATGATCTAACAGCAGCGAACAAAAGAAAATAGAATCAGTGACTTAAAGCTACATGGCATATGAAAATAATTAAACGGCAACTATTGTATATTCATTTACAATTAATATTATAATTGATGGTTTTCTTTCATGGATATGAGTGTGGCAGGCAAGGCAAGCTGTTGTTGCCATCTCTAATCACCTTTGAACTAAGTGACTTGCTAGAACATTAGCGAATCAAATGGGTTTTGCAGTAATTAAAAATTATTGTCATGATCATCATTACTGAGAGTATTCCAGAATTGCCGATTTTAATAGTCCCTGAGCTGTTGTGGGATTTGAACCCATGACCCCAGGACAATCACTCTAATCCAGATGTTACCACAACACCACCAACTCTCCTGCGACCATGTAAATTCAAGGTTTAATGGTGAGATTGGATGTTCTAAGGACCAATATTGTAAAAGTACAGTAGCCAGTCCAAGCAGCTACACGGTCATACGAAAGACACGAGAGTTCACCTCCACCTTGCTACAGCAGTCTACATATGGATGTGAAGAATTCCCTCAACAACTTCGGAAAATCTGATCACAGTGCTGTATTCCTCTTCCCAGCTTACAAGCAGAAGCTGAAATGGGAGGATCCTTCATGAAAAGAAGTACAATGCTGGTCCAAGGCAGCGGAAGACCGTCTGCTTGGAATTGGTGGGCTGGACAGTATTCACTTAGTGAGCGGAAAACCTAGACAAGTACGCCACCACTGTCACAGTCTTCATTAGGAAAGTGGAGGACTGTGTACTAAAGAAGTCAATCCAGGTGTTCCCCAACTGGAAACCTTGGATGAACCAGGAAATCCACTCCCTACTGAAGACCAGATGTGCAGCATTCAAGTCAGACAACCTAGACCTATACAGGAAATCCAGATACCACCTCCACAAAGCCATCAGGGAGGCCAAGAGGCAGTCCTGGACGAAGCTAGAGGCCCAAACCGACCATGCAGGCTCCCGCTGCTTGTGGCAAGGCCTAAACAACATTACGGGATACAAAAAGAATCACAGCAAGACAGTGGACAAAGACACAACCCTCGCTGATGTGCTCAATGCTTTCTATGCTCGGTTTGAGCAGAATGCCAGCGGCGCGGTGACACCTGTCCTGGAAGCACCTGTGCCCACTGTCACCGCTGCAGACGTCAGAGTGGTTTTCCTGGGAGTCAACCCAAGGAAAGTGACGGGTCCAGACAGAGTCCCCGGCTGAGCATTAGATTCTGCGTTGACCAACTGGTGGAGGTATTCACCAACATCTTCAACCTCTCTCTCCTACAAGCCGTAGTCCCCGACCTGCTTGAAGAAGATCACCATCATTCCAGTACCTAAGAAAGCACACGCAACGTGCCTTAATGACTACCACCCAGTGGCTGTGACCTCCATAATCATGAAGTGCTTTG